CCTGATACGTAAGGACCTCTTTATAAACACATAATACCACATAGAGCAGTGTTTTATTATTGTTGCTGTTGTAAAAAGTGGTTGTAGTGACCATATTCAACCACTAAATCATATAAGCGCTCAGGGAAACTGGAATATTATCACCTCGCAGATTACATTAGTCTGACTACCCAGTTCAAACCTTCAAGGTAAAAAGATACAAGCCTTACAATAGAGGCCCATCAGGACCTCTTTTACAATTCATTTTGTTATAGATGCATGGGTTTGTGTGAGATTTTTAAAATTTCCAATATCCATAAAAGGTTTTGTTGTTGTTTTTTTTAAATGTTACTCTTGTGGTATAATTCTGAAAAGTCTAGCAGAGGGTACTGAACTTATATATTTAAGTTTTTATACTGATACTTTATTTGCTTTTTTGTTATGAGAAAATGTATGTAGAATTCAATAGAAACCTGCTATAAGGTTAATGTATTTTACATCAAATTAGCGTTAATGTCAAGTCTTGACCATGAATCACGACCTGAAATCATTTTTACAACAAGGATTTTACAATTAACTTTAATGCTTTTTTTAATAAAAAAAATATATTTTCAATGATTTCTATTTAAATAAACATGGGTTATGTTGACTATAATAATATAAAAATGAGTTATTATGTTGACTATATCGACCCATTAATCTTAATATTTCTCCTCTTCTATGTGATAAGGGATACTCATCAAGGTCAAGACGTGTTAGTAATTTTTTGGCTTCACGGATACTTTCAACATACTTTTAAAACACAGTTTCTGACATATTTTCAATATCGAGCATAAAAATTGGATAAAGAGAAAGTAGTTAGTTGTGAGGTATCTAGATCAACCAAAATAGATGGTTTTACCTCTTTATGAATCTTTTTTCTGCAAAAATACTTCCTCCTCAATTTTTTTAAATCTGTCATTTAATTGAAATTTTAGATTTCAGTGTTACTGTAATAATACCAATGCATTGAGAGTTTTGCTAAGCTTGATCCTAGTTACATTTTGTTTTTTACGAACTAAATACCAATAACTAGATAAAATGTAAAAGCTAGAAAAGTCAAAGATCCTGTTAAGCAGAAGCACTGCAGTGAAATATGGTCTTCTTGACCCCGCCGGTCCTCCTTTAAGCCATTTACAGGGTTTAAGATGAGCATGATCTGTGTAAAGTCAGGTCAGATTTGGAGTAAAGAGTGAATAGGGAGTATTCTACTGAAGATGTCACTGCGATGGCTGCTGGCTGTGGGAACGGACATTCAACATGTGCACATCTGAAGATTGGCAGGATCACAAACAGCAGCAACAACAGCAAGGCAAACACAACATTTAGACTGCTGACAGAGAAAACACTTACCTCTCAATGAAACTCAAAAAATAGCAAATAACATTTACAATAGAGTCCAAAAACATTCAGACCAAAACCCCCATTTTTATTTGGACCTGATATTTATGAATCAAAATGGCTTTAGCAGAAATTAAGAAAATTTTTGCTCAAGATTAATTTAAGAAGCAAAAAATCTAAATCAGAAAAATTAACCTGATAGAAAAACTTTTTAAACATTAACCGTAAAAGCGCTAAACGCTAAATAATAGCAAAAATAAGAAAGAATGTTACAGTTTTTTATTATGTTCCCTTTTTCGCACTCCAAAATAATCAAAATTCGGAATCATGTAATAGTTTTAATAATCTAAGATAAACTAAATTGGAAGTGTAAAAAAATCAAGGTTGTGTGTAGGTGCTAAATTGAAAGTGGTATATGTGTATTTCCTTGAAACAAAAGCCACAAATTTGATGAGAAAGAAAAATATAAATTGGTTAAGTCTAAAATCAAACTATAGGTGAGGATCATGGCATTCCTGCATATGCATGTTCCCAAAACAGGGTCAATTTCTCTCACTTTTTACGTGAACTCGAAGCAGAGGCTCAGCTTAACATTACTGACAGCCACTGATGTGTTATGTGGCTACGGAACACGATCTGGCTTTCATATGACGTCTTAGCAGCGGACGAAAGCTAAGGAGGAGGTCCATCTAAACCTTTTCATCAGAAAAACATAAATAACTCTGTACTGTGTCTTTAGCAATATCTTACAAAGGGCTCCTTCTTATTTTAAAGTAAATTATTAAAACAATGAAACCTTGTTATCGTTCAAATCTTAATTTTTAATTTCCAAAGCCTAAAACGCAAATAGAAACATTTGGTTGCAAATGTTTTTCTATTCAAAAGACGTAAAACATAAGTATAATATTTTTAGAATATAACAATAAAGTGAAACTATTTCATATTCATATATTTTTTTAATATCTGACTAAAACGAGTACACAAAACTGTAAACAATAAAAATTTTTAAAAATGTATTTGCAAAATACCCTATTATTAATTATCATTATATATTTGTGGAAAATCAAAACGATAAATTTATTATTACTATTTTGTGTTTTTAAAGCATGACTTCCCGCAGAAATAAAAATCGTATAAATAATTATTATTAATTTATAATTCAATGTTTCTTTCAACTGAAGGAAAATATACATTTTTTAAGTCTTGCTTAGAAATATAAAATTTTTAAAATATCGACGACCTTCGTGTTTTTAAAAATATTTCGTTGCACATTTAGAAACACTCATTTTAATCTGTCTTTCAACTTATATAATTTATCTCATTTAATGAGTTTAAAAGGTACAACGATAAAGGAAGTTGCACATGATTCAAAATAAGCATAAAATGTAATTGCGGTACATACCAGAATTTAAATACGGCTTTAAACTGTTCAAAATTTTTATTTAAACGTAATTGAAGTAATTGAATGAAATGCTGCATATTAAACCGCGTATTGCATGATTTTGAAAATGCAGAAAATTCACAAAGGTTTCAATTAAAATAAAATAAGTGTTATTTGTGCAGTCAATTAAAATTAACTTATCGACTTTTAGATACATTTTTAATTATGCATCCATTTGTGCATAATTGTTTTTAAAGATCTGCTGAAAAGTTTGCATAGTCCATACAACTTTTAGGAGTTTCTTCAAGCACTTAGATTGTGAATTCAAATTCTACCTTCTACAGCTCTGAGTATGTTTTATCTGTATCGTGAACTAAAATGGACGCTGTTGGCTAGGAGATGAAGGCTAGGATGAGTCCAGGCTTCAGCTGTGCAGCTGTAAACCAAAGCAGATGGATCTAAGTTTTGCCAGACTGCCAAAAATCATTTTAAAATGCAGTGAAGGTATTCAGTTGAAATATCCCCTGATAATGTCAGAGAAGACTGCGCCATCATGCAGCAAGAACCGCTGAGATCAACACACCACCATTTCACCAGACAGCTACAGCTGCTGTGGATGCTCTTTCAGAGGGCCTCGCTTTGAAACACGCTCAGATTTTACTCTGTTCAAACTCAGAAATACACCAGGAGAAATCTTTTCATTAAACCTCAGGAAGCATTAGAGACCAGATGAAAGCCTGTTTTTCCACCAGACATCGTCACGATGTCAGACCTTGTGACCTCACTGTGGGTGGAGACAGCGAGCCAATGGAAAACCGGGGCGGATGCTTCAGAGTGCTTCTTGCATCAGCGTTTTCTAGCCAAATCTCAAGTGAAAGTCACGAGTTTCATAACTATGATTATGTTATGAAGAGATCAAAAAATCTGCCTTGATAAAAAGCAATCACCAAGGAGGAGTGAATGGACCGGGCGCTGACTAGCCACGTTTTTAGCTATGCAGTGTGCAGAACTGGCATTGCAGTCCAAAAGCTCAACCTCTGCAAACACAGCTGTGTGCTGTGGAGAAATACTTCCCAGAGGCAATCGCATTCAGTAGCTGAATCACCTGAAAACCTTCCTAGAATTGTATTACTTAAATGAGCCCAAATGTTCTTTAAAAAAAAGGTCAATTAAGATCTTACCATTCGTGGACATGAAGTTCTGAATGTCAATGCCAGTGGCTGCAAAAACAAAAAAACATAAATCAAGTGTCAGAATGAAGTCAAAGCAAACAACTATGAGGCTTTGCTAGAAATTTGGCTGTAAAGATAAAAATACTATTTTTTGTATTAAATATGTTCTTTATTCTTTCCAGCACTGGGTAGTTCGAAACAATATAAAATATATCTACAGTTACTCTGCGAAAATAGGAAAACTAATTTTCATTTTCAGTTAGCTGCCTATTTTGCTTCGATAAATTAGGAGCCCAATTTCATTTCTAAACTTTGAATTTGAAAAAAGTTTTGAAAAGCTTGTTGAGGTTTGCAAAAAAATATTTATATCACATTTAATTAAAGACATGCAAGATAATTGTAATGTATGATAACTGGGTTCTATGGTGCTGTGCTAAACTATGTTTTTGTAATTTATTTCCTATGAAGCAACCTCGTTGATCAGAAGAATGTTGGCTTATCTATAATCTATAATATTGTAAAAGTATGTGTGCATAGTTTACTTCTGTAAAAAAAAAAGCAGTTCTTAGATGAAAACTTATTGCTGAAAAAACTAAATTAATAGATGAGGCTAAAAACAACTACTCTCTAGTTTTGTACATGGAACTCCAGATCTACTTCTGCATGTTTTCAAAAGCGGCTTCATGCCTCAGCAAACAACACAATCAGCAACCACTCAGAAATCATTAAAGCAACCAGGACAAGAAGAGATTAAAGGAGCTGCTCTGTCGGCAGATGAGTTTGCACTAAGTAGATGATAATGAAGAGATCTGTCCAGGCTGGTCAATGATATGGCAAACAGATAAACATCGCAGACTCACTGAGTGGATATAACTTGTAGTGTCAGACAATCGCTCAGAGCACTTTTCAAGCTAAAGTTAATTTCCGCTACTTGCATTACTCCCTCAAAGAAGAAAACAATAAGGTGGGGAAAGAAAAAAAAAGCTTTAACTGCATGTCAGGTTTTATTCCTTTTTCTCAATTAAATGACCATACTAACAAAAAAGAACATCACTTATTACAATATATCAATTTTTATATTGACTTACACAAAAAAACTAAGCTGCTGGTATATTTCGCTTTAAAAACCCGACTTACAGTCTGAAAAAGAAATTTCAAGTTTAATTACATCACAATTAGTTGAAAATTAAACACAAAAACACAAAAACAACAAGAAATAACTATGTCCTTCTATAACCGCTAAAGAAACAACACATTTAGAAAATATTTTTTCTATATATATATATATATATATATATATATATATATATTAGATTATTAACGGTTGCTGTCAACTGTTAATTCTTTTTTCTAACACAAACATAATGTACAAGGCAAGTAAAGGCATATCTAGATATTTTTATTTTGAGAAAATTAATTATTTGAGGTTTCTCTTTAATTTAATAAAATGCTGGTTTTATGTGACATTCGCTAAAATCTAAACATATCTTTCAAAATCCAAACATGTAGAATGTTTGGTGATTATCTAATAGTTTAATGCCCTGCTAGACTGGCAGACAAAATGGCTACCAAGCATTTTATATCTGCACCACTCGATAAGCAAATGAAAGAAAACTTACAAAAGTTTTGAGAACCAGAGGAAAATATTAAAGCGGACACGAGTCCAGTGGACCCATACATGCAAACAGCTGAGAAGAAGATAAAGAAACCTTTAGTAAACAACCTAAATATATTTGGATTATAGATATCCGTAAAAAAAAAATGCAATGTTCCCTAAACTTTTCATGTGCTCTTTACACCCCATACTGTAAACCAAGTATACTGATTCCCCATTATTTTCTAAATCCTGTCTTTTTTGTGATTATCAGGAATGGAGCACAAGAGCATCAGCAGCCATCTTGCCCAAATCGAAGAGAACGCAGAAGAATGGAGGAAGTGTCTCTCCGACTGGGTCATATGACTGCACAGTCTGCAGTGACGGGGCAATAGTGTCTAGACGAGCTTATCGAGATGAACTATACCCACAGCCTCACACCCAGAGTAGCTCCCATTTTTGTGTACATACTGTAGGAATATATGTAACGTATTTATGTTTTTATATATATATTTCAAGTAATATATAAACCTTTTGTTCTTAATGAGAATTGAAGTGCTCTCTTTTTATACTGGATATTGTATGAGGCTGTCCAACAGACTCATGCTTTGTTTAAACCAGGCCAGCATGCATATATTCTACAAGTTCTACAAAGTCGAAAGGATTTTACTTTTGATTTAATGTAGACTATTTCAGTTTGGTTTTAATGCACGTTGAATTTGACCTCAATTTACCTCTGTTCTATTTTAAGATTTATGGAATGGTGTTCAAAGATTGATATTAACTAGTTATATTTATTATATATCCAGATTTAATTGAATATCTGCCAAAAATTGTGTATCGGTTTGCATCTAAAATCTCTGATTTAAACATACTGATTGAAAAACTCCACTTCTACCTGCATCTGTTCATTGTTAATAATAAATAGGTCAGCTATTCTCATACCTGCTGTTGTTAAGTAGTATTCCCTTTTTAAGTAATATCACTTCATCAAGTTTTTTTTAATATCCCACACTTTATAATAAGTAATAAAATTATGCATAATTTGTGCTGATAACATTAGTATCTGTAATGGTCAATTCTAGAAGCTGCAATATCAGTATCGTATCAGAAACTAAAAAGATGTATCAGGACATTCCTAGGATTTACTCAAAATTTGACTTTAAGGAGCAGTTTTACTGCACCCTACTTTCTACTTTTACTTAAGCAACATTTTTATGAAATATATTGTTATTTCTACTTGAATAAGCTTTTTGGTTGTTATTACCAACTATGAGAAAATTCACATTGAAAAAGAAGCACATCTAACATATATTCACCAGACACAGACAATCGATTAAAGTTTGGCTAAAGTAAGTATCATTTTTTTCTACATAACCTTTTTTGTTTAATATTACTTCTATATGCTAAACATTGTATGAAATGTAGAGGTCAAAATGATATGCATTTAAAGGCAGAAATTTTACATCAAGTACCGTATATTACATACTGTCTGTATTGGTTTCATAGATTTTATGCTTGAAAACAGATTTGGAGAAGTGTTTAATCTGCCTAAGTTTGTTATCTCACAGTTAATTTCTACCCTGATTTTTTTTAATCATCATCTTTAACATATATTTAGCAAAAACTTTATATTTTGACATTATTTTATTTTAATAATTACATGATTTTATCAAGTAACAGTTACTCAGTGCTTCAGTAGCCTTCTTACAAATACTTTTTTACGCTTTCTAAAGTAATTTCTTGCAAGGCAGGATGTGGCAAACATTTGTTAAAGTAGTGCTACTTATTTAAGTCTAACTTCTGGGTACTCTTTGCACCTCTGAGGGTGTTGCTGTAGAAGTAAAAGCTTAAGATAAAGCAGAGAATATTTAACTCAACTGACAAGAACCTAGTTTTTGTTTGGTTTTGTGGAAAATAAAAGTTTATTCACAGGCTTCTGATTAAGGTTAAAGTCACTGAACATATTTGGATTATATATTTATTATATATCTAGATTTGAAATGCAATTAATTGACATTACATTTGACCACTTGGATAGAGTTCCAATGCCATTGGTGTCTTTGAAGGGCAATAATATGGGATTTAATAACTCAGCTCCCATTTTAAAAATAACATCCAATTACATGCTTTAATAATATCTATCTATCTATCTATCTATCTATCTATCTATCTATCTATCTATCTATCTATCTATCTATCTATCTATCTATCTACCTACCTATGATTGTTTCTTTATTTCTATCTAAACAAAAGCTAAAATTGGTGCCAAACAAACCTTTCTGTGCTTCTGCAGACTGCCTTATGCATGATGCACTCATGTTAAACTCCATGGCTGAAGGGTTATTCCCTGCAGAGCATAAACAGACACAATAAAAGGAGACATCTTTAAGATATCGCAATGGATCATAGTGCAAGATATAATGTGCATGTTGCATTAGATAATGAGATAGGAAATTGTTTTCTTTAAGAAAAAAGGATTTTGTCTACTGCTTTGTGGTGTTAATGAAAGGGTAAAACTAAACGTATTGAAGGCAGATTTTGCCCCTCAGGTGACCGCTGACTAAACAGCACGAGCGCGCCCGGAGTTAATGAAAAAGCCTCGCGTCAGCAAAGGTGCGTCACCTGCGCATCTTCCTGAACTAGTGTGTGAATGAGGTCAAGTCCCCACAACATCACTGCTATTGTCTGGCATGAGTTGCACAAAATGTTTCCAACGCGAATGCGAAGCAGTTATTTTTTACAGCACGAATGAATGGGACAATCAGCCCTTCCAGTGCCTTGTAAGCGAAGGAAGATGTTGGATTAAAAAAAAAATGTTAAAAACACGAAAAGCAATGCTGTAACGCTGCAGCATCCGCTCTGTTAAGCTGTTTGAGCTGGTCTTAACCTACCTGTGCACAAGGAGCTGGCTGTCTGCTGATGTGATGTAGAATTAGGGGGAAAAACTTTAGGGTTTTTTTTGTGGTTGTTTGTTTGTTTTCTAAAGAAGGAAAATAAACATTTCGTCAAATGCGTGGCGACTGAAGAAAAAGAGACGTCTGAGGAGGAGTGCTGAGATCCCATTTTCCCACCAGGCGGGTTCCTTATAGATGCGCAGAGACGCGTAAAACTCCATTTCCAATTTTATCAATTTGAGACAGACTCCAGACAGTCTCCTAACGGTTGCGTGCCTGGTCCCCTCTCACGCGCGTGCACGCCGAATGGCGCGGAAAGCGGCGGGGATGACAGGTTCGTTAAAGGACAGGGCGCCCGGCCAATGGAGACCAGGTTTATGAGATTGAGAGCCAATCAGGATGAGTTTAGAGTAACGTCCCGCCCCTCCATCCTCCTCCTCACCCGTCTGTTGACATTGAGTGCACTGAATAAAACAGCAGTCTGAGTCAAGCAGTTCATTGCAGCGAGATTTGGGTCACTGACTGCAGCTTATTCACTCTGGGAAAAGAGAAGATGGCTTGTGACTGAAAAACAAACAATTTAATATAGTAATAGCATCTAAAAAAAAAAACAGATACGGTGTCCTGTGAAAGTATTCTCAATCCTTAAAACTTTATCACATTTGTTAACTAAGAAAGTTCACTTAATTCATTGTTTAGGGGTTTCATTTTATAGATCCATACCAGTTGAAGCTATTATTTTCAAGCATGGATATCTAGATTTGTATATCTAGAGTTTGATTAAAACAAATACCATCAATCCCAAGTTTTGCAGAGTTTTATTCAACAAAAAAATAATTAGTGGCTTACTGTCAGCCAAATACAAAGTTAATTATCTCTCATCTGGTCACATTGTTTCTTTTAAAAACAAACTTGCATGATTTAAACTGTATTAAAATGCTTGAAACTAAATTCATTTTATTTATTTTTTTGCAGCCAGTACAAAGAGCCTCAAGAATAAATTCCAGAGACTAAAATGAGCTGGGATGTTTTTTTGACCGTGTAATGGATACATTTGAGGCACATCAAACCTCTGTTTTATACCTTCTTGATGCACCAACAGTGTTGTCTAGAAACCATTGGTTGGATCTTCTCTGTTGTCTTTACAGGTGAAGTGTTGTGTTGAAGAGATGTTTAGATCTTAAGATAAGATATTTTTCTGGTGAAGTTCATAGAGTTCATATTTCCCATTTTTGCCGGTAGGGGTAACCTTTAACTTCTACCCATTTAGGTAAGCAGTTCCCCAAACCGTTTCATTCACAAAATTAATCTCTTGCAGGGACATTCCTGCCCCATTCCACAGCGTGAGTACCACTTTTTCTCCGGACAGCTGCTGATCCTTAAGAACTGACATCAAAAACGTTTCTCCTTTTTGTGTCGGACAAAACAACTTCCAAGTCGCTATATAAATTCTGTCAAAGTCTACACAAGCCATACAGACAAGTTTGTTGTAAAGAAACCTCTGTACTCTGGATGGGAAATAACACGCATTGTCTCCTTCGGCTTTGCACTCCTTAATTTGCATTGTTATGGAAAACCACTGGATTTGGACAGAGCACAAAATCATTGAGGTCACCATAATGGAGAGTGACAGCTAACCCCCCCTCTTTCAAATCTATTTGGAAGTAAAATCAAAATTCCTGGGAAAGAAAATACGGGAGGCATAAAATATCTCCTACAGCCTTGGAAACAGATGTTTTGGGAGACCATTCTTAGGATGTGCAATATGAATGGCACCTGCAGACTTTATTGTACTAACAGATGCCCTTAGTGGTTGTTTCAAGTTGGAAACAATAGTGTTTATTATGTATGTGTGTGGGATAACTGAAATAAAATAAAGATTTTTTTATTATTATTTAAATTTTACATTCATCATAACCATCAATAGAAATTCCAAGACTGCTTTTTTGCAGGGAAGTGTCTTTATGCCTTCTCAAATTAAAACTCGTGTGGCTTATCCCCTCCATTGCCATGCCTTTTTAGATACTGACCTTGTGGCCCAACAAAATAGCCTCTTCCTCACCACGGGACCCCATAATGAGCCGATACAATGAGGCTTCAGTTCAAGTTCACTGCTCACCTCTCTTTGGTCTCTCTCTGGCTCTTTGTTGACGTTTGTCAGCCCCAGAGGAATTTGGGGGGATAGAATTCAGCTTCATAAGCCAATGGTGGATTCAGACTACAAGTTTAACTCCCAGACCTGAGCACAAAAGGGTTGCTGATTGACAAACAGGCTCCAACCTGTCAGACAATTAAAGGCTTTGGAAAAAAAGTTGGCTTTTTTAGTTACAGGATTGTAACTTATATATGTATTTATACATAATCTCCATTATTATTACATTTTCTTTATGGATTTATCATTTTATTGTTAGTTTTTCCTGATTTATCACACTCAAACTTTTTTTGTGAAACACTACAGACAGAAATGGTTTAACTGAGTTGGATTTGCACACACATTTTTAACAACACGGAGATCAGGATTTTTTGATGAGACTTACTCTTCCTAAGCCTCAGCTATGTAGTACCAAATACACTTTGCAATTGATTAGCAGTAGGACTTAGTCAGTGTCAACCAGAAAGAGCAAATTGACACAAAGTCTTGAATTCCAGACTTATATCTTGAGAAGTGTCTTAGATAGTTTCATATATTATAGATACACACACAAACACGCAGCCATGTTTTTTTTTACATTATGGGGATGATTATCCAGGAATATCCTTCATTATTGGGACTTATAGATACTCGTGGCGAGCAACAAATGTTCCCCACGAGGAAAGGTTCTGTCATGTTTCTTTTAAGGTTCTCCAGGGTCTCCTCTTGGGGTGGGGGTTATGTTGAGGACTAACATATGAACAAATTTTTTTTTTATGTTTTATTTACCAACAAAGTGAAAATGACAGGAAGTCACCCCATTAACTATAAATAGAAAAGTTTTTAAGAATATTTTTGAGTCATTTTGTATTGTGTTTGACAAACATTTCATTTTACTTTTGTACTTTAGTACAAGGTAGAACCTGTACTGTTTTGCTTTAACATATAAAAAGGAGTTCAATGGGTAATTTTACTTTTATCAAAGTCTTTTTATTTAAACAGGTATCTGTAATTTCACTTAAGTTTGTGTATACTTTTGACATTACACATATAATATATAAAAAGTGACTTGAAAAACGGCGGAACATTAAATGGGATTAAAAGATGTGAAATTTGTGAAAATTATGTTTTTAAGCTTTTGGGTAATTTACTGTGTTTATTATAGATATTATATAATTTCCTATGATTTCAGTTAACTGTTTGTTTATTTTATTATAAAAACTTTGTTTTTCTTTAAACTATGGTACTTACCTTGTGCAATTCAGTTTCAAAAACATCACTAGTTTAAATCTTTGACATACTGTCCTGGATTTATACTTGGACCTTTTGGACAAAGATCCTCTCAAATTAGAAAAATGTTTATCCCAGTTGCATAGCCTTGTTCCACCCAGATGTGTACAACTTTCACTAAAGCCTCATAGAAGTCAATAATCCAGTGATTTAAACACTGTGTACCATTTAGATAAACTACCCTGTTCTTTAGTAAACATTCAGATTGGCTGACCTGTTATATATTATTAAGAGTCTGCTCAGCATATCATATGTTGTTACAAAATTACCCAATTGTCCATAAAAATGTCCAGTGTAAAGTAGGGGTATGCAAAATAATAATCATAACGATGCATCCCGATTCTAATTCTTGTGATCTACTGCATCGATTCTTGACGCGAAGATTCTTAATTTAAAAAAAGGAATAAATAAAATACATGAACGGTTGCCACACATCCACCAAAAACAAGTGGAATACAGCTTCCAGTTAGTAGATGTCGCTGCGGATGTGTTGACGCCCGCTGCCTTGTGTCACAAGCATTTCCGTCCGAGGGATACTGCGACGAGTCATTCATAAACAAAACACGGAGGAGACTGAGAAAATTCGCCCGACTCCATCACATTTCAAGTCAGATGTTTGGATGCATTTTGGCTTTAAAAACAAGAAGGTAAAAACGGATTTGATATGACACACATAATTTGCAAAAGGGGAAATGTCATACATTAAAATTTTTTCATTTCAGTGGTTTAAAGGACCACTGAGGCCATGTAAACGGCACTGATTATCCCTATGTTGTTATTTCAAGTTTTATAAATCCTAAGCATTTTTTGTCAGTGTGTCCACTCCAGTAATAGTAATATTTCTGTCCAGTATTTGTTTTCATGGCAGTACCTCCAAAAGTTGTTTCAATAAATACAGCTATGTATGAATTCAGTTGCTTTCAGTTATGTATCAATTAAAAACACTATAACAACATGTCTGTATTTTTTTCTAACAGTGTTCAATGAAAATATCAAGTATCATGATGCATCGTGATAGAATCGCATCATGGCATGTGAATCGTGATTTGAATCGAATCGGGACTTCTTTGGCAATACCCACCCCTAGTGTAAAGTATATGTTCCACATAAGATTTGTCTCCAATCGGGGCCTCTCCTGATAGGATATTATTTTGTTTCCTTTTCTCAGACCTTCAGCAGCAAGCTGGTATCTACTCCCAAGGACTGGGTCATCTTATTGTCTCCTGCCTGTGAGTTGTTAGCCACTTTGAGAGAGGTATAAAAAAAATGGGGTTAGAAATGCACAAAGATCTCAGTGAGAAAGCAAGGATAACTATATGTGCATGACACAATCTTAGTAGAGCAAATTAAGAGTTTCCTTTATTAACCAATTTGAGTTATAAATAAAACTTGACTGTCATGATTTTACAAAAGTTCAGACCCAAATGCTGAAGACCAAACAGGGAGACCAGGAGAAAAGGTTTAACAGGTTTTATTGAAGAGATAATGCAGAGAGAAGTGTTGCTCTGAACATTGCTCAACTGGAACTGAAAAGTGAGGGGAAGACACAGCGATTAGTTCAGGCTCAGTGGGAAATTTGATTTGTAAACTTGGAGAAGAGGATCTGGCTGCTGGCTCACGTTTCCAGAGAAGTTGTTGAATCTTTAACTCCAGTCTGTATGCTGTTGTTCCAGTGTTTGTCTGATTCGGAGAAGGGCGGAACAGGGTTTACCCAGAATGCGGTCGTTTGTAGGTGAACAGCGAAGCTGACTGCTACTCAGATTTCCTGCGGTACTTGAACGGGTAGTAGTGGAGATGAATCCCTTCCTCAGTGTGAAGCTCAAACGATCTGTTGGGGAAAGTGGATCCAAACC